TTCTCTTATGTGAGACTAAACTCACATATTAATGACCTCAACAACTTCTCAACTTTTAAATAGGAGAAAGGATTCTAAGGCCAACTCTAACAAATCTCCTCCTTAGATTTAATCCAATCAACTCTGCTTAAATCTACTGCTGCCATTAGCCCCCTAGAGCTATCTTCGTCACCTGATGTTGTACAAGTCCATACAATGTGTAACACCCTATGTTACGAAGCCCAAAAGTTAATTCTATAATTGCTTTTTTGCCATTGAAAGATTAGATAGAATCTTTTTTATTAGTTTAGAGATATCTCTGCATTTTTAGTTTTAAAATAGAGGTGTTTAGAAGGGTTTGTATGCTAAAAAGCCTTAATAGATTTTAAGTTAAAAATGATCAAGCTATTAGTCAACCCATTAAGCCAAATATCTCTACATAATGCCTACAAAACCCTAGAGAATAGAATATTGTAGATTCTAACACCTACAGTGCTAAGCATGGAGAAGGAATAGAAGATTTTCCCGACGTATGTTCGTTAGCCCCAAGATCATTTTTCGGTAGAAAAATCTTTAGGCAAGTATCGGCTAGCTTCTTTTCACTCTTTTGATTTCTAAGTACTTTTGAATTCCTCATGTTAAACATATTTGATCCATCATAATTATTCATTACCTTAGCATTGATATATTTATCAAGTTTGTATCGATGTCTTAGTGAAAAACATGCATGTATGTAGTTTTTGACCTAGAGTTGTAAATATCTGATGAGAACTTTTGATCCATGTTTCATACGCTAGGTTTTGATAGTTTTATGTGCCAATTTTTATTTTTACATACGTAGGCCACATTTCGACCATGTTTTGGTAAGTTTTTACAAAACCCTAGATAAACAATTTGTGTTTTATCATGTCTATGATCATGATAATTGTTCCACATATGTTAGTTTTGTGATATTATGCTAAAAAAGTGCAAGTGAGGATCTACAACCTTCATGCTTTTGTGTTATATTTCTCACTTGATAATTAGTCGTGTAATATAGAAAAGCTGAGATTAGACAACATCATTTGTAATCACCGAACTTAAAATGAGTCATTTTGAAAATATTGGGTTTAAATGGGGGAGAATAAATAATATTTGGCTTTTTAAGGTGTGGGATTCAATCTGGCCATTTTGATGAGTTTAATACCATAATCCCGTCTTGGATTACCGAGATTCAATTTAGCACCCTAGGAATTTGGAAATGTTTTGTGCATGCCTGCGTGGTATATGTATATATGCTTATGATGTTTGATGAAGTGTGTACAATATGTTAGACCCTAGAGGGGGGGTGATTAGGGTCTTATGCTAATCTAATCCGATTAAATGCCAATTAAAACTAATTAACAAATATATTCTTGCAAGATAGATATACAAAGAGTTATGTGCAAGAATATGTAATATACACAAGATGATATATCCTATATGATAGAAATATATGCAAGGATATATAAACAATAAGATATACCCTAACAAAGAGATATAGACAATGTATGTGCAAGGATATAAAACTAACAAGAGGGGTAAATAAATTAACTACAAAAGTGATAGGGCAAAATGATCAACAAGCAATACACAATGGCGATGTAAGATATGAATATGAAAACAAGTGCGCCAATGCAATCACAAACAAAGGATATGTTTACGAGGTTCGGTCCCCACGACCTACGTCCCCGCTCCTCACCTCGAGGAGATCTCCACTATCACAACCGGGTTTTCTACGTTCACCCGAACAACGTTTACACCTCACAATACAATCACTATGTAATCACACCTCACACACTAAGTGTTGGTCCTAGCCCGTGTCCTCCTCCTCAAGTGCTCGGTTACAACCTCTCCCTAGGCACGTCAACCGACGTCACTCCTCTTGGATTCGACTCCGTCTCTCACCACTCACTTTTCTCGGTGTACAAGTGTATTACAAGTGAATCCTCACAATTAAGCACAATATAAATCAATTGATTGTTCTCTAAACAAGGTGAGAACTCAATTAAGCTCACTCTCAATGTCACAAACCCACAACCCTAAATTATACTATGAATGTAAATACAATAAGCTCAATAGGTTGTGTGTGAACAAAGAGATAATAAAATCAACTAAACTCAATATGAACACTAGCTTAATAAAAAGATAATCAAACAATATAAAATATGAAGCTAGATTGAGTTTAGAAAACTTCTCAATAGATCAAGAGTGGAAGGAGAAGAGTTGGATGCTCAAACACCAATAGATGATCTCCTCAAGCTCTTGTGGAAGTGATTCACAAAACCAAAACACTCAAATGCTTAAAAGCTTATAAACACACTTAAACCAAACATAAACCCTTGAACAAAACTTGTAAACTTCTTAAAAACTTTTCTCTTATTGTTCTTGTTAGATGGGAGAGGTAAATGCAATGGGGTATTTATAACAACCCAAGACATCAGCCAAAACCCCAAGGAAATGACCAAAAACCCAAAAACAAACAAAACAGAAAACTAGCCGTTACTGTGCAACGGCTCTCTGATAAGTCGACTTAGAGTCGACTTATGACATATACAGTTTTTGGCAGATGCTGAAAATTATGCGTATCTGGATTTGTAAAATCAGTTAAAAATAGTAAATCAACTCTAAACATTATGAAATTTTGAGGGATGTTTCTAAACATGTAAATAAACATTTTACATTGAAAAAGGACTTCCCAAATGAAAAATATCATCATTTTACAAAATAGTCCAAAACATGAAAACCTGAAAATTGATATTTTGATATTTTGACTTAAACAACATTTTGAAACCTTATGAAATGATTGTATAGACTTGATAAAAGATATAATATGTTGTTATGAAGTCTATAACCTAGAAATGCAATATTTTCATGAAATTGCATATTCTATGCAAATATATTCAAAACACTAAATATGATTTCATTAAATATAAGCTTGTTAAAGGGGAAATCATATATAGGCATATAAACATGAAACAAAATAGTATTTTCCAATTCTATTCATTTGTTTCATAGTAAAACTTGAAAACTATCAAACCAAAACATATATGTGTATATATAACTATATATATACAAAATCCAAAACGTGTATGTGTGTATATGATTGAGCTTAAAGTACTAACACACATAATATAAATTCCTAAACTAAATTACCCAAGCTTGATCTTGATCTTCATTGTAGCTCAACTTGGTA